CATGTAATCTGCTGCCATTATTCCACCAAATATATTGGTCCAAGAAAACACAGACCATAGCAGACATTTGGGAGCAACATAAGGACATAAATGTTAATAAATGAAATGAGCTATAAACAAAGTAACACGTAAGAAAAAGTGATGGAAAAAGCTCAAATGTAATAAATATTGATAAAGATGAAATGACAATTCACTGATTAATCTTGGACTCTTTAATTTATCTTCCCCATTTGACATATTGTTGATTTACACACACACATTGGTGCAGTCTGTAACTCCTTCTCTGGGTTTGGCAATAGGATTGAGCTGACAGCCATTTCATTTTCGTTGATTTACACAGTGATTCTAGCCTCCCTAAATTCCACTAGCCTTTTTATTTTTATTGCAATTAATACAATGCCACCTGGCCTCCAGATAATCCATAGGCTACTTACAGAGACACTAGAGTCACCAAAACAACTTCAGCTTCCCAATGCACCTTAAGGAGACGTATTTGCAAGGCAGGTGCTCTGCAAACCAGGAAGTAACAGGACTGAGTGTCTGATTGATAGCCAGGGGGTGTAACAAGGTACAATTATAAATGTATCAATTTAATATCATGGAATTTGCCATGCTCCGATTTATTCAACAGAAAACCATGTAATACTTTTATATACATTTTGAGTACAAAGAACACTGGGCAAGATAACCCATACAAACTTAAAGGGAAACTCCAGTGCCAGGAAAACCATCCGTTTTCCTGGCACTGCAGGTCCCCTCTCCCTCCCACCCCCCAATCCCCGGTTGCTGAAGGGGTGAAAGCCCCTTCAGTAACTTACCTGAGGCAGCAATGATGTCCCACATCGCTCCTTCTTCCTCCGCGCCGCTCCTCCCTCTGATTGCGTCAGCCGGTGGGCGAGAATGATCCCGCCCACCGGCCGGGGAGACCTAATGCGCATGCGCGCCATTAGCGCTCCCCATACGAAAGCTTTGAAAATGCATTTCAATGCTTTCCTATGGTGAAATGAGCGACTCTGGAGGTCCTCCCACAGCGTGAGGACGTCCAGCGACGCTCTAGCACAGGTTTTCTGTGCTGTGGACAAGGAAGTGCCCTCTAGTGGCTGTCTACTCAAAAACTGCAATAATTACAGTTGCAGGGTTAAGAGTAGTGGGAGTTGGCATCCAGACCACTCCAATGGGCAGAAGTGGTCTGGGTGCCTGGAGTGTCCCTTTAAAGTCAAAAGAATACCTACTTAGGCCACACCCACAGCGCCATTATATAAAAAAATATACAAAAAGGGGCCAACTAAAATACAGTGGAGTGAAGAGGTAAAAACAATAAAACCTGTATTTTAATTTCTGAGCGCGTACGCCTATATTAAAGGTTATAAATTGCTACTAATTAAATATATATGTATTTGAAAGGGGTTCCCTTAAATAAACGATATTAAAAGACGGAGTATTTTCATTAGTTACGGAATATCTACTCCTTATTGGGATTGTCACTTTAACCGACTTGAGTTTATTAACTCTTTATCTGACTACCAGATGGATCAGAAGTCTAATGTTTTACAATGTAGCTCGCTGGCAGTAAATGATCTCTGTAATAACAGATGTCTTTTTTTTTTTTTTCCCCAAGAAGCAAACACCATCTTGTTTCTTCCTTTTGCAGCAGATGGATTCAGGGTTTGCAGCAAACTAGGCTCCGATTTCATGACATGCAGCAATTTCTGCCGGTGACCTGACACAGTGCAGTGTCAGAGATTCTGATGCCTGTTTTAAGACCTTGAGTCTCTGTTGCTAAACACTCGGCCTGAAGATGCTCTGATGGAGTCAAAGCTGTCAGGATATTGCTGGGCCAAGCAAAATAAAGTATCTCTGTGGATGCTGCAAGTCGAGATCCAATTTTGCTGCAGGCTACTGGGGAACTAATGATTTTAGCAACTGTGCCTTCTAGCTACACGATTTCGTTTCCAGATATATATTTATATGTATATATAGAACTTTTTTATTAATATAACAAGAATGTCACCAATTTCGGTACGATTGCACCATGGCTCCCACATCATTCTTTAAATGATACATTCTGGGATGTTGCCCCTAAGCACTTTTATAACAATCTTTATGCGTTTGTGACTTATGCAAGAAATGTGCCGTTTAGGAAAATAAATAATACAAAAATTTTTTATGTTAATCCGTTGTGCATAAAAAAATAAAAAATGCTTAAACAGTTTTCAAGTTATTAACTGTTTCACTACATTTCTGATGTAGGAGGTCCCACTTGATTAACGGCAGGGGAGCTGTAGAGAGCAGGGTAGTGCATGTGGTCATAAAAAGCAAGCAGACTGTGAATATGGCAAATCATGTCATGTGCCCTTATAAGAACACTGGAACGTTAAAAATAGATATTTATTTTTAAGTGTGTTTGTTTTTTTCCCTTTCTCTTACTGCTCCCCCGGGCTATTTTTTTTAAAACGTACAAACGGTTATTAACCTTACCTGTTATCTAGTGCTTGGACAGCAGCCCAATACTTGTCCAGTTAAGTCCTTTATTATTATTATTATTGGTATTTATATAGCGCCAGTTTATTCCGCAGCGGGGAATTTACCAAATGAGACAATAACAAAATTTAACAGGAACAATAGGTAGCTTTTGCAATTGCTGTCTAGAGGAGGTGGGCTATAAAAACACAATAGGGAGGGTATTGAGGGAGAAAGCAAATAGACATTATGACTTTTATTCAATCCAATAGTGCTGTCTTTCGACAATATGATGCTGTATGTTATGGCGCTAAATGTAAAGGCTTTCAGAAATCAAAGGTTGTAGGAAGGAAGTGTCTATTATTATTATTGCCATTTATATAGCGCTAACAGATTCCGTAGCACTTTACATTATTATCTATAGTGGATATGTTTTCCAATGGCAAATTGTTAATATTGCCATTTCCCAGAAATGGCTATATTTTTCATCATCAGAGAAAAGAGACATCAGATATACACCAAACCCACTATATTACGTAGTGGTTCTGGTGCTTAGAGTACATTTTTAAAGGATTAATCCTCACTACATATAGTACCCATGCCTTCCTATCTAAGAGGGACAGTCTGTATTTTGCGCCCAAATCTCTCTGCCCCTCTTTTCTCTCCTAATGTCCCCCTTTTCTAGGAACTCCATATTGTTGGTGTGTCTGAGTATATAACAGAGCTCCACAGCAATAATACTCCCAGTAATGTGTCTGAGCGTATAACAGAGCTCCACAGCAATAATACTCCCAGTAATGTGTCTTTAAACTACAATAAATATGTTTAGAAAACAGAACAGCTGAAGTGGTAGAGGTTAACCCAGTGAGGGCGTTTAAGCATGTGTGGGATAGGCATAAGGCTATCCTAACTAAAAGATAAGGCCAGGGAGTAATGAAAGTATTTAAAAAATTAGGCAGACTAGATGGGCCGAATGGTTCTTATCTGTCGTTACATTCTATGTGTCTATGAATACGAACAGATCCGTAGCAGAGACATGTGAGTTAATTTACATGTGTTTAATTTGTCCCATTTAGTGTTTCTGCCTCTATTCTCCTCTGCAAACTGTACCTTGTAACATCCAGTCGCCTACTAGAGTAAGATTGTGTAGCAACGAGACATGCAAACATACGTCAGTGCTATTAAAACAAACCGTAATCCTCGTTATTAACCCTGTCATGGGCATCAAGTAATCAAAAAGGTTAAAAGTATAGCCTTACATATTGAGGCATCTCCTGTTAAGAAATGCCATCTGCCCCGGGTGGATTGTGACTGACCATGGATACACGGCCCTCTCTGGGTATTTAAAGTGGATTAATTTGTGAACACCGCATTCACAAAAAGCTCCAGAAAGCGGTGTTCTTTCACGCATCCCTAATGCCAGCTGGCCTGGCTGGTTCTAGCGTTACGCAAGGCAAGTCTGTGTCACAGCTAGGTTAAAAGGGCAGAGTGATTTTTAATAATTTGTGCAGTTAAACAGACCTAAATGTCAGGACAGGCAGTATATCTAGATATTACGTGATATGCCTGTTATTGCTAAAAGTGGTAACCCAGGAGTGTAACTCACACTAATCTCAGGCAGACAGGATATACATGTCCCAGGGTTATCCTAAAATTAAAGGGACCTAATGCCAACATGTGCCATTCAGTCATTTAACAAGCGACTTGTGTAGGTATCAAGGAGTTAAATAAATCCCTGTTCTGCTAAATCAATTTAATGTGAGAATGCTACAGCTAAATTATCTTCAACATGCAAACTCTGTCTTAGGTGAAAGGGAATGGTTAACATTAATACCATGATCGAGATCAGTCTCGGTTTACTATGTTTATTTGGAACTCAGAGAGTTTTTTATATACTAATTTTAAATCAAGTGTTTATAAAGTGTGACTGTCTGTAAGGAGTTTCATTTTACAAAAAAAATAAATGCAGTTTTTGCTCAACTATGGGGAATAAGTGCCCCTCTCGGCCCATAGGAATCCTGCATATTGACACAGCATGCTGTACATACAATCAGAAAGGCATTCTGGGTAGAAAAGCACTTTTTGCCTGGCAAGTTTTTATCTGCCCACTTTAACTGTGTCTGGTTTTTAGTGAGCTGACTGGTCTGTGAAAAGTTACAAACATTTTAATCTCATTTTAACCCCTTAAGGACCAAATTTCTGGAATAAAAGGGAATCATGACATGTCACACATGTCGCGTGTCCATCAGGTTTTTTTTTATTTTTTTCCTACTTACTACTTTCTAAATCATACCTCCTAAGTGTCCTTATCTTGGAGGGACAGTCTCTATTTTCTGCCCAAATCCCTCTGTCCCTCTATTCTATGCTAATGTCCCTCTTTTCTAGGAGCTCCATATTGTTGGTTTGTCTGAGTGTATAACAGAGCCCCACAGCAATAATACTCCCAGTAATGTGTCTGAGTGTATAACAGAGCTCCACAGCAATAATACCCCCAGTAATGTGTCTGAGTGTATAACAGAGCTCCACAGCAATAATACTCTCAGTAATGTGTCTGAGTGTATAACAGAGCTCCACAGCAATAATACTCCCAGTAATGTGTCTGAGTGTATAACAGAGCCCCACAGCAATAATGCTCCCAGTAATGTGTCTGAGTGTATAACAGAGCTCCACAGCAATAATACTCCCAGTAATGTGTCTGAGTGTATAACAGAGCTCCACAGCAATAATACTCCCAGTAATGCGTCTGAGTGTATAACAGAGCTCCACAGCAATAATACACCCAGTAATGTGTCTGAGTGTATAACAGAGCTCCACAGCAATAATACTCCCAGTAATGTGTCTGAGTGTATAACAGAGCTCCACAGCAATAATACTCCCAGTAATGTGTCTGAGTGTATAACAGAGCTCCACAGCAATTATACTCTCAGTAATGTGTCTGAGTGTATAACAGAGCTCCACAGCAATAATACTCCCAGTAATGTGTCTGAGTGTATACCAGAGCTCCACAGCAATAATACTCCCAGTAATGTGTCTGAGTGTATAACAGAGCTCCACAGCAATAATACTCCCAGTAATGTGTCTGAGTGTATAACAGAGCTCCACAGCAATAATACTCCCAGTAATGCGCCTGAGTGTATAACAGAGCTCCACAGCAATAATACTCCCAGTAATGTGTCTGAGTGTATAACAGAGCTCCACAGCAATAATACTCCCAGTAATGTGTCTGGGTGTATAACAGAGCTCCACAGCAATAATACTCCCAGTAATGTGCCTGATTGTATAACAGAGCTCCACAGTAACAATACTCCCAGTAATGTGTCTGAGTGTATAACAGAGCCCCACAGCAATAATACTCCCAGTAATGTGTCTGAATGTATAACAGAGCTCCACAGTAATAATACTCCCAGTAATGTGTCTGAGTGTATAACAGAGCTCCACAGCAATAACACTCCCAGTAATGTGTCTGACTGTATAACAGAGCTCCACAGCACTAATACTTCCAGTAATGTCTGAGTGTATAACAGAGCTCCACAGTAATAATACTCCCACTAGTGCCTTTTAATTACAATAAATGTGTTGAGAAATCAGTCTGTGGAAATAGGATACATTGTTCTAGTTCCAAATTACATTTGAGTTCTATAAATTATTAGTAAGTCACCAACATTTTCTCAGAACAGCCCCGCCCCAGGCCACACACTCACTCACACTCCTAAAATTAAAGTGTCCCTCTTAGTCCATTTGAAATATTGTGAGATATGTTTACTCCAACCCTTAAAAAACATTTCTATTTTTAGTTAACAATACCCTACCAGAGTCCCTCTAACCCTGTTAAAAGCATTCAAACTCTCATGAAATCCATTGGGGCTGTCACGCTGGCCAGCCCACTCAGGGCTACCCTATACACAGAGCATGTTTAAAGCACTCTGCACATGGGTTAAATGATCTCATTTCTGGACTTTCTTACCAAAAGCGGATGGTTTTGAGGTATATAACAGCCAAACAGAATTCTCAACAATGTTTCAGGTTTGTCTATTTTGACATAAGTGTGAAATTCACCTTGAGTTCTTAACAAATCACATTTTTGTTAATAACACCCCCATACCTGACCCTTTGACCTATTTATCTATTCCTTACCCAGCACCTTGGCCCTCTCAGTTTTATTCCCAATCATTGTTCATTCCACCTGTTTCTGTGACTGTATATGTTTTACTACTTGTTTATAATGTCCACATGTTTACGTAGTCTCTGATTATATTTATAAATCTTCTCTGGGATGTATTATAACTTATCTATGTAATGTAATGATAAACAAACAGAATTAACGATGCCCAAGTAGACAAGTAACAAATGTTGCGAAGAGGATTCGAAAAAAGCATCTTGCATTGAACAGACCAGTAAATTCCCTCTTGACCAGTAACTTTTTTTCCTGATTAGAGAAATCTTATCTTATTAATTTTCCAGGTCGTAACATGAGGGGGCCAGCGAAGATTAATATCTACTGATATGAACGTAATTTGTTTTATTGTATGACTGCCCATGTCGTCAAATTTTATCTCATTGTTTTCAATCGAAGAGTGTCCCGAAAGCCAGCCAGCACAAATGTCTCGCTAATAAAGTCGCAAACATTCAGCGATGTCCCAGCACAAAGTGTCCGGTCGGGGAACGCTGTCCCTTTAAAATCCCTGTTACTATGGTGGATGAGGTCATTTAAAGTCCGTGTGAGTTGGAATCACTTCCTGCTGCTGTTTGTAGCTCTGAGTCTGAAGCACAGGGAGACACAGAGGCAGCGCTGTCTGGGTGCATGGTAATTGGCCGATTATCCCTGCCCATCTAGTGCCCAGGCGGAGGAGAGGGGGGAGGCAGATAGCCGGCCTTCCTACGGCCCATATAAATGGGTGCGCCTGGCAGGTACGTAGGTATCTTTGTCAGCAAAGTAGTTTTATGAATGAGAGCATGAATGCAGAATCCTGTAGTAGGAGAAACGTAAAGTTCGTCTGTTGAAACATCAAAGCTTTCTAAGTAACAATGTACGCAGAACTAGTTACTGTAACAGCTGTCATTCTGGGATCATTCTCTAAACAGAGCGTTGTGGTCAGTGGGCAAAGACATTTTAGGTTAAAATAGCATTAACTGGAAACAAATTCTTCTATTTCCATTGCGTTTCCTGCTGAGCTGTAATTATATGAAATACAGTCAATTCTCTGTTTAGTCAATAAATCCCTTAAGGGTTTATTCGCTCAACAGCAAATTGTGGTAAATTAAAAAAACAGTATTTGAAAATTCAGGCTAAAGTAGCCTAGCTGTGACTATAGTTGAGCGGGTGAATTTTTCAATTTAAATGATAAATTTTGTATATATTGTGTATTAATATTGTTTTTGTATTTTATTGTAACCTAATGTATCAATGCAATGTTTTGTGGACCCAGAACATACTTGATAATCCGCTTTTCATTTTGCCGCTATTAGCCGTTTAGTGAATAAACCGCTTTGTGTTCATTTAGGATGATTTCAGTTGGACTTCTATGCATCAGATAAAGTCATTCTGTGTTTATAATGACATAACTACGTGTCTGGCAAATATAACCTAGTACTTCGAAATAGTCTGCCTTGCTAAAGGAATCTATGCTGCTATAACGACAGACCCAGTCCAGGCTGCAGAGTGATGTAATGCCAGTCTATTTAATAATGGCTGTCTTGTAGAAAATAAACTGCGTACATTGTGGCACGGGCAGACTATAACTATTCCATTTGGCACACAAGGAGTTAATTAATCCTTTGCAATTTTGAGATGAACTTTTAACTTCATTCTTGTAGGTAGACTTCTTCTAAAAGGAGTGCAAGACTGTCGGTCTTTGTTTTACTGCAAGCAGGACAGTCGGATATCTGTAAGCTCTATTGTTCAGATAGAACTAACGTAAGCTTAAAGGACCACTATAGTGCCAGGAAAACATACTCGTTTTCCTGGCACTATAGTGCCCTGAAGGTACCCCCACCCTCAGGGTCCCACTCCCGTGGCGCTGAGGAAGGGGTTAAACTTACCTCTTTCTCCAGCGCTGGGCGGGAAGCTCTCCTCCTCCTCTTTGGCTGAATGCGCATGCGCGGCAGGAGCTGCGCGCGCATTCAGCCAGTCCAAAGGAAAGCATTCACAATGCTTTCCTATGGACGCTGGCGTCTTCTCACTGTGATTTTCACGGTGAGAAACGCCGAAGCCCTCTAGCAGCTGTCAATGAGACAGCCACTAGAAGCTGGATTAACCCATTTATAAACATAGCAGTTTCTCTGAAACTGCTATGTTTATAAAAAAGGGGGGTTAACCCTAGCTGGACCTGGCACCCAGACCACTTCATTAAGCTAAGGTGGTCTGGGTGCCTATAACAAAATGGTTAATAATGTGTTGTGTGCTGGTACCTGACCTGTTTTTATAGTCAAACGTTTAACCCACTCTGCTTAGTAAGGGTTGTGGCTATTATGTTTTATATTTCAATACCTAGCTAACAATTCTATATATGTGCATTGTATATTATTGTATGATCAAGCTGTGTGCTTTAATTTTGCATTGTGAAACAAAATGGATGGATTTAAAGGAATCCATTAATGAGAGAATAATTTTGCCATTATTGTTTCCATACAATTCACATTATCGCCAATTGATAGATGCCAGAGTTGATTTTTACTTTATTATTTATATCAATAATGGTAGCAAATTATTGGTTGATGGGAGCTGCAATATTGGCTTTCTAGATGGGTATAGCAGAGGCCGTTGAGCTTGTATCAAACAAAGTAAATATTTCTGTGGTTTTAGGGCCATTTTAAGGTTAATAACTACTACTAGTGGTTATTTTCCAAAGTCTCTGAGTGACGTCATAGTGGTTTGTGTCAAAACATTTTTGAGTGGATTAACTCTAAAGGGCATCTTCTAGCACCTAAAACCTGGGTCATCTGCTGCAGTTCGGGTAATGTGTATGTGAATGTCTGCAGTATCTGTCCAAACATTGACTTCAGTGATAGGCGAGTCCACCACTCACGGCCTATGACTACCAGTCAAGTATCCGTTTAACCCCTTAAGGACCAAACTTCTGGAATAAAGGGGAATCATGACATGTCACACATGTCATGTGTCCTTAAGGGGTTAAACATAGAGTTTAATGATAGGCTATGTGTTGTAGTCTGGTACATCGCCTATCCCCACCTCCACAACCACTTATAGCAGAAGAACCTGTAACAGGAACAGGGAGTAACAGGTCCCTAGCTCAGCTTCTAGACTGTCACCAATACAGCCTTCTCTGGAATTAGGGTGAACAGCGATGATTCCTCTAAGTGTGATCTTGCCTTCTGGATTGGTGGCTTCTTCCCTCTTTGCCGACTCATTCTTCCAGGCAGGTATTATCCTCATTACAAAGATGCTTTAGCATAGTCTAGCTGTCTAACCAGTCCTTAGGCCTTATAGCAGGTTCCCACTGGCTCTGAGGACATTTACCACTTAAAAAGCTGGATTAGACTTTTACAACTCTACATTCAGCTCATGGTGAGAAATGTAAAACAACACAGAAAGCATCACCGTGTGGGGGAACATGCAGGCAACAACAAAACACAATCAAATAGAACTCTGTCCCAAAAAGGGGGATTCAGAGGAACATAGACCATAGAAATCTACAGCATTCTGTCTGAATTAACTATGGTAAGAAAATATGCAAATCATTTAGCTTATACATCTAAGCTATACACAAAACTGCTGCAAAGTAGCCACCGATCAAAAGTCCATGTAGCAGTTATTTTTATTATCATTTATTTCTATAGCGCCAACATATTCCACAGCACTGTACAATTATCGAAAGAAGACCCTACTCAAACCAGCTTACAATCAACACGGCTGGCT